AAAAGAAAAAAAAAAGAGATAAATAAACACTTTGTTGCGTTTTACAGTCTCTCCTAGAAAAATACTGTTTACTAATAAATCTGTGAGGAAGGGAGAAAGAAAAGAGAGAGAGAGAGAGAGAGAGAGAGAGAGAGAGAGAGAGAGAGAGAGAGGGACGGAGGGAGGGGGAAGGAGGAGATTAAATAACAAAAAAGAGGGCGGGGGAAGAAAAAAAAAATAAATAAAAAAGAAACATGATGGATGGTATGCAAATCATATTCTTCTTATCGTCGAACAGTAGTAGTACACTCGTTGAAAAATAATAATCGATCGATGGATTTCTCTGGCTCGTTTCCTCGGGAAACGTCAGATATCTCTCGACGAGTCGATAAATCGAAGCGAGACATAGAATGCGTTTTAATAACTTTGGCTGTTAACGCCGATAAATAATGTGGGAGTCATCGTCATGCCGATGTAATTAACGAGAACAACCGATATGTAGATATATATCACATATATATATACACATACACACATATATATATATATAAACACACACAACATATATATATATGTGTATATATATATATATATATGATATATACATACATTTATAGGTATTATCTACTATCGTCGAGTGGATACGAAAGTACGTGGTGCACGCGCGCGCGTGCTTGAGCGAATGAACGAACGCAGTCAATATTTGTCATCCGTTTTATAACAAAAAGAACGTTACAAAACGACCGGATGCTCCGACCAAATATTGACTATGCTCATTGACGTTCATTGATACTCTCAATTAGTGCACACCACCGAAGCAGATCGCCGGTTAATTGGACCCTCCTCCTCCTCCTCCTCTTCCTCCTCCATCACCTCCTCCTCCCTCTCGGCCACCCTCACGCGTTCGAAAGTCCGCACCTCGCCTACGTTCGCGACGCGTTTCTCTCCACCTTCGACTCTTTTCGTTTCCTTTATAACGCGACAGACAAAAGTTTCGACAAGGGTAAAATTGGACGAGGCATTAAAGGGTTCCAATTACGCGGTCTCGTCGAAGTCATACATATATATATATATATATATATATATATATATATATACACTTCTCTTTTTTTACTTTTCTTCTTTTTCTTTTTTTAACTTTTTTTTTTCTTACTAACTTTTGATCGATAAATCGATAGATCTAACGAACGAACGAACGAACGAACGTATGAACGAACGAACGAACGAACGAACGAACAGACGAACGTAACGTAATGACCGAAAAGAAAACGAAGATGAATAATAGATAGAAACTTACCCTTTCCTCCTCGCGAATCATCTCTGCGATGCCAGGCTTGATCTCGAGGTCGTCGCCAGGCTGATTGACCTGTACCTGCTGCAAATGCTGCTGCTGTTGCTGTTGAGCGACTAGCTGTTGCCCGTGGGTGGCGGCTAGGTGGTTGACGGACGGGTGCGGTCCGGAAGTCACGTGGCCGGGCACGTGGTGAGCGGGCATGGGGTGCGAGCTCGGCTGTCCTTGCGGCGGCGGCGGTGGGGGTGGTGGTAGAGGCAAGGAGACCGGTAATTCTTGAAGGTTGATCTGCGGCGTCACAGAAACGCTCGGCGTACTTGGCGAGCCGAGAGAACGCGGGGTCGAGCTGTTCGGTATAAGAGCGTGAACTTCGGGAATGACCATGCTTGTTGGACCGCTTGGCTCTTGATCATCGATCATACTACCCGTTCCGCCTGTTGTGCTACCGGCTGAGCCCGTGTGATCGGGACTATTGCCGTTCGGCGATCTTTCACCAGATATTCGACGTCGTTTTTTCCTATGAAGTGCGGCCGCATTCGTAGCCTCCTCTACGAGGCTTGGCCTTGACGTTAATTCTTGTTCGCTGTTTACATCCGCAAGGCCACGTATTTTTAAACTTTCGGCAACCTTCAACAATGGACCGATCTGTTCCTGTGACACGTTGATCTCGCCCTTGTACATGAATTCTACGGCCGCCTTCAACTCTGGCCACTTTATGTCTTTCATTATGACAATTGGATGCTGGCACGGATTATCAAAGAATAATGCCTGGAAATACGGGCTACATGCCGAAAGTACCATCTTGTGCGCTTTCACGCTATGCCCGTCACAGGCGAGTGTTACGTCGACGAAGCTTTCGCTCTGCAACAGCTGATCGAACACGTTCGTTAAATTCGTCTGATAATTGTTCCATCTTAGACAGAATTGCTGGGGTGACCCAGCACCACTTTGCTGCGTCATTTTCGACTAAATAATGATATTTCGATTCCACGTTCTTTTTTCCTTCCTTCCTTCCTCCTCCTCTTCTTCTTCTTCTTCTTCACCTTGTCCTCCTCCTCCTCCTTCTCCTCCTCTTCTTCTTCCTCCTCTTCTTCTTCTTCCTCCTCCACCTCCTTCTTCCCCTCCACTTCTCCTCCTCCTCCTCTTCTTCTTCGTCTTCTCTCCTCTTCTTCTTCCCCTCGTTTCCAACGTCCTCCAAAAATCCTAACAAAGCCGTCACGATCAGCGAGC